CCTCCTGGGGAATTGGTCAGGAATTCCAGAAATTATCCTTTGGAAATAGTGAAGTTGCAGATGAAGATTTGCTGATGAAAATGTAGCTTTTTATTTAAATGGCAACTCTTTGGAATCCAAATGTCAATTGTGGTTGCTCAGGAGTGGTATGTTGGTGTGATGCCCAAAGCTGTTAAGGGGCAGGATTAGCCTCTTGAGGTTTTTTTTCTTTTTTCTTTTTTTGGTACCGAGGATTGAATTCAGAGGCACTCAACCACTGAGCGACATCCCAGCCTTTTTTTGTGTTTTATTTAGAGACAGGGTCTTACTGAGTCGCTCAGGGCCTTGCTAAGTTGCTGAGGCTGGCTTTGAACTCGAGATCCTCCTGCCTCAGCCTCCTGAGCCACTGGGATCACAGGCCTGTGTTGTTGTGTCTGCCTTCTGAGTTTTAATGTTAATAATGAGATCATAGTTTCCTAGGGCTGCCAAAGCAACACAGGCCTGTTCTCCTAGTCCCAGAAGCAAGGTCAAGGTCAAGGCCATGGCCACCTTCCCGGGGCTGTGAGGAACCGTCCTTTCCCAGGCCTCTCCGTGGCTTACAGACGCTGTCCTCACAGTCCCGGGGCTTCAGTGCTGGGGACCCAGGGCCTTGCCCGTGCGGCGGGGCGAGCACTCTACCTCTGAGCTATGCCTTACCCCAAAAAGGTCTTTAAAGTTCTCGGGTTTCCTCTCCTTGTTTGCTGGCAAGCAGGGGTTGGGAAGTGGGTTTATCTAAGTGAAAGAGCATGCAATTGTCTTACAAGGATGAACGTTCCTGGCTGATGCCCAACAGACCACCCTGCTGTTCCGGAACCTTCTGGGAGGGTGCCCTTGCACCAGGTGTCCGGGCGAGGATGCAGGGCTCCGAGTGGGTCTCTGCACTGAGCAGCTGCAGGAGTGGGAGCCTGCGGCCTGCACTGAACCTGGTTTTGGAGACGCCTTCCAGCACCTTCTTCTGATAATCCTCCGCGGGGGCAGCTCGTCCCCACTTGAGCTGGGTTTTGATTTGGGGAAGCAGCTGAATGAGAGCAGTTTGCATCCGGGCCTGTGAGTGTGCCAGCACAGGGCAGAGGACCCCAGGGGCTGCACCCCGCCTCAGCGGGGTGTGTCACCAGAAAAGTCACTGTTACCTACTTTGCAGCTTGTGTTCTGTTTCTGCTGGGCGTGGCCCGCCTGAGAGAGGGGGGCCCCTCTGTCCTGTGGCTTGTTGAGGACCTTGGAATTCCTTTTTCCTCCCCTCTCTATAGGTGCGCTGTGTTCCTGCGGGTGGGAGCTGTTGTCATGTTGTCACGTATTGCGACACACACACAATGTGATGACATTGTCCTTCCCTCTCGCCCCCCTCCCGGCCCTCTCCTCCACTCACTGACCCTGATTTTTAGGAGTCTGCCTCCGTCCTCCTTTTCCTTTCCCTCCCTGACTTCCACGGATGGGAGAAGACCCAGGCCTGACCGAACGTGGCTGATGTGGGTGGACAGGGTGTTCCTGCATTCTCCTTCAGGTGACGGAGGAATTTCCTTCTTCCTTATGGCTGCCTGAGCTCCACTGGGAGGGTGCGCGTTGCTGGACCCATTGGTCCACCGACGGCCCCGAGGCCGTTCCGGAGTCACGTGGGTGTGCGGACTTTGTCCCCAGGGTGAACACCCGGGAGTGGGACAGTGGGCCCTGAGCTGGCTCCGGGCCAACTGAACTTGTGACTCTGAGGGACTCCTGAATTCTGAGGCCACTCTGGGCAGCAGAGGCCCTGTTAGAACGAGGAGTGTCCTCAGACGGTTACTGGGGAGTAGGACGCAGTTTCTGGCGTGAGTTTTTAAAAAGGTCTGTGAGTTGGTGGCCGTTGGTCAGAGTGTGCGATGGCGTGAGGGAGGTCCCTCGGCCAGGAGTGGCCAGAGGGCTTCCTGGAGACTGGCTGGGAAGTGGGAGTCCTCAGAACTCTGGGCCTGAGGGTTTGTGATGGCCCTGTCACCGCACACCTCAGATTTATTGTCTGGGGCCACTCTGCAAGGTGGAGTCGGAGGTCAGGCAGAGAGACCCCTGGATTGGCGGCTGGAAGGCTTTCCCCGGCCCTTTGCAGAGCGAGTTTGCTGGCCCCTCTGCTGGCCACACTGGGGTAGGGAGAGGGCTGGGAAGGCCTGGGCCAGGGGAACCAGGCGGATGGGGATCCTGGACGGAGTCCAGTTCTGAGAGATGTCCATGGCTCAGGGCTGGGAGGTGAGGTCCTGGGCTGCGTCCTGACCCCCAGGGCAGGTGACGTTCAAAGGTGATGCTGGTGTTGGGAACTCTGGCCACGGTGAAGCCAAAGTGGTGGGCCTTTTGGTGGGTGCAGGATTGCAGGATGGGGAGGGCACGCAGGGCCGCGGAGAGGGCTAGAATAGTGTGTTTGAGGAGTCGGGCCAGGCAGGCACCGAGAGACTGGAAATGTGTGAGCGGGACCGGGGGAGGCTGGAGGTCCTGGAGGGGGCTCTGTCCACTGTGCCGCCCAGCCTCCCACGGGGCCTCCTGCTGAGCCAGGGGAACCCTGCCCCCCCCCCTCGCCCCAGCGTGTGTCCAGTTGCTCAGGTGAAGACTTGGTTTAGGGAACGGCCTCAGGCAGCTCCAGAGTTTTGGAGACGTGGAAGATGCAGAGCTCCCATCCATCCTAGTGTTCAGACTTGTTCTTATGATGCCAGCTGCACGTGAGAGTTTCAGCTGTGCCCAAGCCCCTTCTCTGAGCCCATTCGCCTGGTGAACTGAACCTTCATGCCCACCAAACACCCTGCCGCTTCCGCCCCTCGCCGCCCTCGGCCACCCTGGGCCACCCTGCTGGGCTTTCTGTGTCTGCGATGACGTGGGGACCTCCTGTGAGTGGGATCCCAGCAGTCGCCTCCGTCTGGCCTTTGGCCGTGTGCCACGAGTCAGTGAATGACGGACCACCGTACCTGGGGGTCCGCGCGATCCTGTTGCCCGTAAGGTGTGGCTGGCCTGGCTGTGTGACTCCACCATGTTCAGACAACGGTGGAATTGCCCGATGGCACACTTCCCAGAATGTGTCCCAGTGGTTAAGTGACACGTGGGCTCTTCCGCTCAGCACCGCGTCCTCGAGTTCGTCTGTCCTGGGGCAAGTGCCAAAACTTCCTTCCTTTTCAAGGCTGAATGACGTTCCGTGGCACCACATCTGCTCCTCTGCTCCCAGCCAGTAGTCTTATGACATTGCATCAGGTCTTTTCTTTGAGAGAGGAGGTTGAAGCCCCTCTGGGTCGCCGCTCCCCCCGTGCGTCCACCTGAGCTGTCAGTGCTGGACACCCACAGCCCATGGCCATCATACAGCACAGCTGCTCCCTGTCCCTTCTGCAGAGGCGTGCCTGTGGTCCTCGGTGCTGGGCTTGGCGTGCACGCCTGGGCACCATCCTGGGAACCTCTGGTTGGTTCTCGTAGCTGCTGTCGGACTTGGGCTGGTCCTGCAGCCGCAGCGTCCTCGCGGGCATCTCCTAGCGCCAGGCCACACGTCTGTTCTCGGCTCACATCACGTAGGCCAGCTTCTCAGCTGTTGGTCTCACTATACTCCCCGAAAATCCCTGGGTGGGCTGAGGATATCCAAAGTGGAGATGCACAAATTCCCGGGGCCTGAGGAACGTCCTGACGCGGCAGCGTGGCCTGCTGGAGCGTTCTGGTTTCCCGTGGCCGACTGAGCTGCGGCTGCCGTCGCCCAGGGTCACAAGAGCGTTGTTTGTGCCGGACGTCCCTGGCCTGGGGGAGACCCAAATTCGATTTGAGGAACCGTCTCTGCTGGAAGCATCATCAGCTTTTCAGCAGGATGAAGTCAAACTGTGGTGAGCTGGGCCCGTGCCTTATGCCCCCGGCTGCAGAGCCACAGGGGCGTCCGGAGAGCAGACACTCCCCGCCCAGCGCCCGGCCTCCCCGTGCTGTGGACAGGGCATGTTCTTTCTCTCTGTGCTGGCCCAGGCCCACTGAAGGGACTTGAGTCCCCTACGCATACGGCTGGACACACTTTGGAAACCGTCAGGTCACTTCCTGGAGGTCGCAGCAGAGCCAGATCTGCAGCCCAGATGGCCGCCCGGGTCGGTGCAGGCAAGAGTCCGTGCCATCGCCTCCTGCCCACACCCGCCCTGACTGGGGTGTCCCCTGGCTGCCCTCGCCTTCCGCCGGGCTGCTGGGTGCTGGGTTTTGCTGAAATCTGTTTCCGGGTGTGTCTGGTTTTCCCCTGTGCCTCGCCCATTTTCTCCATTTCTGCTCTTGATGAGGACTTTGGAGTTCTTTACGTTTTCCTTCCTTCCTTCCTAGGGGGTTGAACTCGGGGGCGCTCCACCACTGAGCCGCATCCCAGCCCTGTTTTGTACTCTGTTTAGAGACGGGGTCTCCCTGAGTTGCCTAGCCCCTGGCCTTCGCCGAGGCTGCCTTTGGACTTGGGATCCTGCTCGGCCTCCCAGCGGCTGGGGTCGTAGACGTGTGCTGCGCCCGACCTGCTGTTCTCTGTGTTTTCTAGACCGTGGTCTTCTTGTTTCTAGTTTGCTTTTTAATAAATGAATCGTATGAAAACTCTGTTCCTTCGATATTTGTGAGGCCCCGGGCAGGAGGATGCCAGGGAACACCTGAGGTGGGGGTGAGGGCTCTGGGAGGGTGGGCTGGAGTTGGGGTGCCGAGTAGGGAGGGGAGTCGGTGCTGACTTGGGCGAGCAGGAATCCTCCGTCTTGGTGAGGTCACCGCTCGGGGTCAGAATTCCTTCAGCCCAGGGGTCCCTGTGGGGGCGATTTGACTCCCCGTTCCTGGGGGCAGTTGGCAATGTCTGCAGACGCTTTGGTGGTTGTCCCGGGAAGGTGCAGGGTGCTGCTCGGCACCTGCGATGCCCAGGATGGCCCCAGGACAAAGGGTGACCCCTCTGGGGAGGAGACCCCCGCCTCCCTGTGCATCAGCCAGCATCGTGGAGCCTGTGGCGTGAGGCAGGATGCGGCCCAGCCCAGGGACGCCCACCGTGTCCGCAGCCCTGACCGCCAGCGCCCCCTCTCTTCCTCCCCAGGCAGCTCTTGGCGAGCCCCACCTGGGCCACAGCTCGCGGAGGATGGGAACACGTGCCCGGCGATGTCTCTGGGCCGCCTCCTTCGCCGGGCCTCCTCCAGAGCCTCGGACCTCCTGACCCTCACCGCTGGTGGCAGTGGCGGGTCCCCCGCGGTCCTGGATGGAGAGATCATCTACTCCAAGAACAATGTCTGTGTGCACCCCCCCGAGGGCCTGCAGGGGCTGGGGGAGCATCACCCAGGTGAGCCATGGGAGCCTGGGGCCAGGGCGCAGACCCTGGGGAGCCATGGGCGCTTGGGCTCTGCCTGGGCTCCCCCAAAGGGAACCGGAGACCACTGGCTCTGCGGGGGAGGCAAGGAGGGGACCTGGCCAACCCTCTGTGTTGGAACTCCAGGTGACCTGCCCACATTCTCGGGCATTCTCCTGGTCCCTGGGGCGGGAAACTCCTTCCTGTGGTGACAGGGACTTTGCCATCTTTTGCAGAGCCACAGAGAAAGAGACTGTTTGGTTTCTTGTTCTGCAGGGCGGGGCTAGGCTCTGAGCCAGGGCCCTGAAGGGCCGAGGGCCTCCGCTCATGAGAAGGACGAGAGCGTCCGCTGCCTTCCCCGAAGGGAGTCTGGGGGCATTAGGTCCAGCTCTTGGGCAGCCTGCGGCCCCTGGGCAGGAACAGAGTATGTGCAGTGACAGTGCAGGCCTCGTGCTCCTTTGCCATTCATGCAGGTGACTCGCGACAAGGGAGGGTGTGGCCATTTCTCTGTTGCTTGACCATCTGCACCATGGCCTCACTCAGTGGCTGGAGCCGCAGTGGGCCTCCAGTGGAGGCCACCACAGGTGCTCGGGCAGGAGCTCCCCATGGAGCTGGGCTGCTCTGGGCCACTGGGTGCCGTGTGGAGCTGGGCCCTCCCGGGCTCCCCAGGCTGCCGAGAGCAGGCCCCAGGCCCTGGCGTCCTGCGGCCACGGGGGGAGGGGTGGGGGGGTCCTTTCTTCCCCAGGCCCCCCGGCATTTTCAGGCCCTGGGGTAAAGGTGCAGACCGAGATCCCAGACAGTGGGATCCGAGCACCTCCACCCTGGTGGATGCACAGTTGTTAAAGGGTTGCTGCCCCTGCCTGGCCCTGTCCGTGGTGCCCGTGGCAGTGTGACTAGAACTGCGGCTTCTCCAGCCCACACCCCCTGCTCTTCCAGCCCGTCCTTCCCTGGGCGCCGGCACCACTGTGTGGGTCAGGACTTCAAGGTCTTGGGTTCTGGAGGATGATCCAGAGGGTGTAGTACAGCCCCTGGCCAGAGCCTGGCCCCCCGGGGAGGGGGGCATGGGGACCAGAGTTCTGGGGTCCGAGTTCTATTCGGAGCTGCAGCCCTGGGAGTGCCCTGGGTATTCCCATCGTGACGCTGTGGGGAGAGGTCAGGGATGGGCAGAGGACTTCAGGCCCTCACTCCGTCCTGGAGCTGAGGTGTCTGGTCAGAGGGTGCAGAAATACCTAGCCTCACCCTCGTGTGACCCTGCGTGTACCTACTGAAGTCCCCAAGTGCCCCGCCTCTCCTGGATATCTGAGTGGGGCCAAGGGACCATGGCTGACAGCAGAGCCAGGGTGTGCTCCGGGCGCCGCTCCTGCCAGGGGCCTTTTCAGCACAGACGCCAGAGGCCTGGGCCGGGTGCCCTGTGCCTAGGAACTGGGATACCCGGAGCAGCTTGGTGCTGCATTAGGAGGTGCCACCTGCCCCCAACCAAGCTCCTGGACTTTCAGCGTGGCCTTGGGGAAGCTGCTCTTCCCCTCCCTGGGGTCACAGGTCCCTCTTCCAGCTACTGCGTTAAAAAAAAGAAACAGTAGGCCACGGTGGTGGGACGAGGCCGGGCAGCATCCAGCCTGGTTATTCTTGTTGTGAAGTGGAAGTCCAGTCTCCTGCCTTCATCCCTCCCCAGAGTGTCGCAGAGCCAGGACACGGACCCCCGAGGCCACTGGGCTTCTCCTGGCCTGCCTGGGCCTGCCCACAGGAGGAGGCGAGGCCCGACAGGCCCAGGGCAGTCAGATAACCACCTAGGAGTCAGGCGTGGGCTCGGACCTGAGTGGAACAGCTAGGGCCGCCTGCTGCCCAGGCCAGTCCCTTGGTCTGCTGGACTCGGGGGTTCGGCTCACATCCCGTCCACTTCCAGAGCCCGACTCTCTGCAGCGCCGAGTGTGCCCGTGGGATGGCGCTCTCGGCCCGGTGCCGCCCGTGCAGCCCTAACCTGCCCGACCTGCGACTCCCCACAGGGTATCTGTGCCTGTGCATGGAGAAGGATGAGCTGCTGGGGGCCACCCTCATCCTGGCGTGGGTCCCCAACTCTCGCATCCAGAGGCAGGACGAGGAGGCCCTGCGCTACATCACCCCGGAGAGCTCCCCCGTGCGCAAGGCACCCCGCCACCGATGCCGGCGCATCCCGAGCTCGGGGGCCCCCCACCAACCCTCCCCCACGGAGCCAAGGCCCTCACTGATGCCCAAAGAGGAGGACATCCTGGTGGTGGCCCAGAGCATCCAGGAGGCAGTGCACATCAGCGCTTCCCCTGACGATGGGGAGAAGCTGGCCCTGGACGCAGGGGCAGACGGGCCCCTCCCCGCCTCGCAGGCTGCCCACAGGGACTCCGGAGTCTTGTCCACGGTTGGCTCACAGGATGGGGTTGAGGAGGGCAGGGAGCCACGGCCTGAGGCCGGTGAGGAGGAGGGCTCCTGGGAGCTGTCAGCGGATGGAGTGAGCAGGGACAGCTCCTTCGACTCCGACTCCGATGCCTTCTCTTCGCCCTTCTGCCTCTCGCCCATCAGCGCTGCCCTCGCAGAGGGCAGCAGCTCCGCGCTCATGGACAGCGAAGGCAGGTGAGTTTCCTGTCCATCCCAGGCCGAGTGGTATCTAAGTCCCCATGAGGCTGGCTGAGCTCCGTCCCAGGCCGGGCAGTGCACAAGTCCCCACGGTGCTGGCTGAGCTCCGTCCCAGGCCCAGCGGTGCACAAGTCCCCCCGGCGCTGGCTGAGCTCTGTCCCAGGCAGAGCAGTGCACAAGTCCCGACGGTGCTGGCTGAGCTCCGTCCCAGGCCCAGCGGTGCACAAGTCCCGACGGTGCTGGCTGAGCTCTGTCCCAGGCCCAGCGGTGCACAAGTCCCCACGGTGCTGGCTGAGCTCCATCCCAGGCTGGGCAGTGCACAAGTCCCCACGGTGCTGGCTGAGCTCCATCCCAGGCCGGGCAGTGCACAAGTCCCGACGGTGCTGGCTGAGCTCCGTCCCAGGCCCAGCGGTGCACAAGTCCCGACGG